CCTAATCCCTTTAAACCCTAAACCTAATCCCTAAACCCTAAACCCTAGAGCATGCGACCATGGCACCCAGGTCTGGGCAGGACCACTTGATCCATGCTGGCACTCGGTAAACCTTGGAACCTCGGCTCCAGGTGCTTCGGCTTCAGGATTCATGAGGGTTTAGGGTTTAGGTTTAGGGGTTACATAGGGATATAGGGGGGTATATAGGGGATATATATAGGGATGATGGAAAACAAAATGGCAGCTACTTTTCATGTTTTTAGTTAGTGTTTTTAGAAGTAGCTCCCAAAATGAGGGTCCAATCTTGGTACCCGTAAATGATAGGTGCCTAATATGCTCTGTAGCCAAAAGGGCCCATAACTGTTGGAACAACCCATGAGTAGATCCATGGGGGCTTTCCCAACATTGGGTGTACCATTGGGGGGGGTTTAGGGTTTAGGGTTCCTATAATCAGGATATATCAGGATTATAATCTACCATATGTTGGTGTCGATATTGAGGCCCGCCCATTTAACGAAACTACCACATAACCTCTTTGTAGCTGGACAAGAAGTACCCGAAAGAGCCGTCAAACAAAAGTATGTATATAGAATATAATGTAATATAACATGATATAATATAATATGAGTACGTGATGCGCGTCCTAGGCAGCTGGGTGATGACAGGCGTTGGCAAGGCAAGCTGAAAATGAAAGGAATGAATCAGTCGTCTGAATACGCCAGCTGTCTCTGTTCATGATTTCACGGGTTGCTGCTGAATAAGCCAGAAGAGACACCGTCGTGCTTCGTGGCACAGAACTTCACCTTTGTGCGATGGGCAATGGCGTTTGCCGGCAGCGTCACCTTGTGCAGCTGCCATGGAATGGCAACCAAACAGTTTACACCCAAGGCAATTGATAGTTGCAATATGTTTCAATAGCTGAGGGTGCGCCAGAATAGACCCTAAAAACTGTAGTCCTCAGTAGAGGGACAATGTCAAAAATTCTGGATAACTGAGCCTTGTAATCTGGAAAACGATCATGTAAGAGGTCTGGTGGCCCTTCACATCCCCATCTGGTCCCGAAGACTTGGTTTCCTGCTTTACAAAGAACTTACATTAAGTTGCTATATTGGGGAAATCCTTTTACTTACTATGTATATATATATATACACCCATTTGCGGTAACTTAATTTAAGTTCCTTAACAGTAACCCAGTCTAGGCCCGAATCTCAGCTTGCAAAGCGACCTCCCAGGTTCCGAAAGCATCGCGCTCAAGCGGCGTAGCAGCCTTCCAACAAGTGGGACTACGAGGTAGGTGCTCGCTTGAGGATTCATGATATAGTCCCCCTTAAGTAGATAGAACATGGGGTATTATGATGTATCCACAGCCATATTCTATCTACTTAAGGGGCACTGTAACTTCAAAAGACTGGGTTGCTGTTAAGGAACTTAAATTAAGTTACCATAATAGGTATATGTAGTAAATAATAGGGTTTCCCCCAATATAGTAACTTAATTTAAGTTCCTTAACAGCAACCCAGAAGATCGACAGCTAAGAGCGATTAAGCTAGCAAGGTAGGAGGACTCAGGCTCAGAACGCTGCTCTGGCTTTTGGTTCAGAATCGCCTAATGAAATGCCACCTTTTGGGCCAAGGAAGTTGAAAGCATAATCCTTCATCAAAGAAATGTCCCTAAGCCTCCCCGTGGCCTCCCTTTTCTAATCACAGTTTGAGAAGGCCCCGCTTGCCAGGTGCCGTCCTAGACATTCTTGCCAGCATCTGGGCCACCAGCTGAACTGGTCCGCGGTTTCAAAAGCTAAGTCACGATCTTGGTGCTTCCAAACTTGGGATACCCTTCTTGGCCCCGCAAACACATAAGGGCTACAAGAGGATACATTGTAGGGATCCTTGATGAGGATTGCACGAACAACATCTTGAGAAGCTCTCAACCACGCATGGGGCATATCCTTTAACACCAACAAGAACCCGCTGCAAAAAACAGTAGCCACCCACGTCCCCGAAGTAGTCACCTTCTGCTTGAAGCATGATAGGGAAAGGCATGACTTGTTGGGACTACTGTGATCGAACTATACACAGACAACGATATGGATCACTTCCCTGGCCTCGTCCCAGCTGTTGAAGTCGCCAACCAAGGACCTGAGGGAGATCGCAACCATGAAGCTTATCCGTTCTTAGCTTCCTGACCTACCTGTAAACATCCTCAAGAAAGACAGACACCTACGACTCAAAAGCAAGTGCGGTCTCCAACAGAGCAGGAGTATGAATATGTGCTAGCATCAGGTGATTCAGGATAGCGAAATCTAAGACGACTTCTAGATGGACTACCCAGCCACCGCGTGTCGCCCGCCAACTGAGCCTAACTAGCCAGACTGGGCTGTCTGAGAAGTTGGAAGTCCCAATTGCATCTGCCAAGAGAGGTGGGCTCTAGTTTTTGACAGGCTCCACATTGGGTTATATGGTGATAATGGAAAAGAAAATGGAAACTACTATAGTATATTAGGGTAATCTAGGTTGTATAGGGTTTAGGGTTTAGGGAGAATGGAAAAGAAAATGGAAACTACTATTATACTATAGTATTTTCAAGTAGCCTGGCATGTGCTGGTGAATCCTGAGCTTCGGACACGGCCTTAGCTGGGGGCAGCCACTCCCGGTATGTGATAGCTCCAGTCTCCTCGCGGCTTGCGCATCTTCGCCACTGCGACTCCCAGCAACTGTGGGGGGACACAAAGGCTACCCAAACACAGAGCTCGCTCCCGTAAAGCCGGCAGGGCCAAGAGAGGGACTCCCTTCTTTGGTCAATGCGTGTGCCGGAGTTTTGTCTTGCGGGCTGGATTCAAGAGCAGGGCCATGGGTCTGTGTTGGGTTCCGCTGCTTGCGAGCAAGAAGAGTTGCGTTCCGGTCCCAAAAGAACGTCTGATTCCTTGATACGTTAGCATGTTAGTTCTGTTGAAAAATCATCGGGGTACGGAGACTTGCAGCCTATCAGCCAAACCTCAGCGCCAACACCCTCATCTGCACGCTTTCCAAGCCCAAAATGCTCCTGAGCTTTTGTGAAGCCCAACCTGCGAGCATGGGTGTGGTATCGGGGGACCATGGGCCAAGAGTCTGTTTAGGTTTAGGGTTTGGGGTTGTGGGGTCTTTCACTCGGGACCTCGGAATGCTTGCTAACAGGTGCAGAAAGCATAGGTAAAAGGGGCAGCGTATGAGTTGAAATAATGGCCTCTTCGACGAGACATACATAGGGAACGAGCTGGGATGAATTCCATCCAGAGCCTTTACCAGTGCCCCGCAATACTGATGCCAGTCTGCCATGTAGCAAAGCTTCAACAATATCTAATATATTCCTTGCAGCCAAGACCTGAAAGAAAGACCCACCATTTTAAGCAACCCCCGTTGCACTGGCGCCCAGGAGCCTCGTGAAGCCGCAGGCAAACTCTGTCAGAGACCCGGCCGTCTCGGTGATGTGCTTTCCTGGCAAGACAAGCTTTCGCTGAAAGAAGCTTGGAGGTCTTGGTAAGGAGCAGGAAGTGATTACGTGGGCTCGCAGGTATTGGTGGATACATGAGGGCGCTCAATAGTTCAGCACGCTTAGCGTGCACGCCACTACCTGCGTACAGCCCTGTACAGGCTTACTCGGACTGCCACGGCAACTACCGTACTCCGAGTCAAGCCTGAGGTGCCACGGCAACTACCGTACTCCGAGTCAAGCCTGAGGCAATAAGCCTTCCTTTGTCGATGTCCCGAAACAGGAATACTTTGGGTCATGACGTCCCGCAAAATGGAAGCGAAGCGGCTCAGGTCTGTGTAGACTTTCCAGCGGTATTCGAAATGGCCTGCGCAGGCAGGAAGCAGCGGAACTCTCCATGCTTCAGTTTGTGTACTGAGTGCCATGCTTTCAAGTGCTGATGAACCAGACTTCCACTTCTAATTAGCTCTCTTGAAGGACCTCAGAAAAGTCCTGTGCCTGTCATAGAGTGCCGGAATAAGTGCTAGCTCCGGAACCTTAAAAAATAGTCGGAACCGCTCAATCATCACAAAAAGTCCCAATCGCTCACACCGAAGCCAGAATCACCCAATCCTATGCATCAGCCCGAATCACACATCCTTGTACTCTGAAACCAAACCCGAAGCAAATAGCTGTCATGGTCCAAAGTCCCTAAGCTGGCCCTCCCCAAACCCCACAAGCCCCCAGAAGAACGTGCCTCGGAAGGGTACGCATGCCGGATCTGTCAGCAGCCCAAGGCCATCCTAGGACTCCATCTTGGGGGCATCTTACATGTATACGAGATGGCCTGATTCTCTGCGACTCAAATGTCTGAAATCTCACAGTTCCTATGGAGCTGTACCACAATCTAGAAACTACTATAGTATATTGGGGTTATATAATATAGGGATAGTGGAAAATAAAATGGAAACTACTATAGTATATTGGGATTGTACTCCAAAAGCCACCTGCTCCTCAGCAAAGCCAGGCGTCTCCAACGACCGGGCGCTCGCGCAAAGGAGGCCGGAACTGGGCCCGGCGCTCATGAGGCTTGAAGCCTGGCCTTGGACTCTTAGGGTTTAGGGTCTAGGGTGTAGGGTTTGGATAATGGAAAAGAAAATGGAAACTACTATAATATTATAGGGTATATGGATAATGGAAAAGAAAATGGAAACTACTATAATATCATAGGGTATATATTGGGCTTGGACTCTTAAGTTCCCTGGAAATCTGGTAGAAAAAAGATAACAAGCATGAGGTTTAGGGTGGGTACTGCCGCACTGCCCCCACCCTGTAACAGTCTGTATTAAAGGTCATATGAAGGGTTAGATATGATTATATTGTAAATTGTAAGTATTATCCAGCTGTTACAGAGTGAGGGCAGTACCCAAGGCTTAGGGCAACGGCCAGGAGAAGGCAGAGCTCTGAGCTTAGGATCTGGCTTACAAGCATAATCCGTCTTCTACAGGAAAGAGATCACGAACGCAGTTCCACATGGCAACTGTTTAGAATTTGCAGTAGACTGAAAAGGTGCTGGTGGAATGGTTAGGGAAGAGACAAAATTGGTTCGGAAACCAGGAAGGACGTAAAAGAGCCTCAGGGTTTCAGTGGGGCAGGCTTGAGCCATTCCTGGTGGGAGGTATTAATCATGGTTGAAGGTATGTTGCTGAAGTAAATGGTTGGGAATTCTACCTTACATTTGGTACTTAGAGTATACCAAATCCGTGTCTGCGGCCTCGGGCTGTACTGCTGCGCTGTTTTCCGTCTACTCGCGTCAATACGCGCTGTTTCTATATGATGGAATTCACCGAAACCTGCAAAACCTTGCAAGCTACTAAGTCTTGCACCCCAGACCCAAAGCCGCAAAGGCTTGGGATTGGGCACCCAGATTCTGGATGCATCACGTCAGGATCACCATGACGAATTCCCTAGTCAGCTCATGGTTCCCAGGAAGCCCCATCCATGTAGTCATACACTTGGGCACTGCAAGGAACAATCTATCATAGGGCTAGTATTCAGGACTTCTGAATTGTCACATAATTCATATCCTACTGTTACTGAGTCAGGGCAATATCCTACTTGGAGGCCCCTTGCAGTTAAAGCAACAAACTAATGAGTAATATATCATTCCTAAGTCGCATGAACCCTCCAAGTAGCCCTAAACCCTGAAAAACCCTGAACCCT